TGGTGCCCGCCGGGCCCCTCTGCTGTCACGGCTGCTCTGCCCCACAGGAGCACTGGACCTACCCCCCTTTCGAGGCCGTTAAGGACTCACAAGGCAACATCTATGCCCGGGGTGCGCAGGACATGAAATGTGTCTCCATCCAGTGAGTGGAGGGCTCTGCTTCCGCTGGGGGGAGCGGGCACCGCATGAGGCTGCCTCTGAGTGATGCAGGACGGGATGCCACCATCCCCAGGGTCCCTGGGGCTCAGGGTGCCATCACTTGTTCCCCCCCGGGGTGGCTCAGGGCACACCAGCCCCTCTTCTCTGTGATGCCCAGGCCCTGCCTTCTCCCCGCAGGTACCTGGAGGCCATCCGGAGACTAAAGGCGGAGGGAAAGTGTTTTGCCCGCACCATCCACCTCACCTTTGTGCCTGGTGAGTCCCCAGGGTGTCCCTTCTTGGGAGACAGGAGGGGCTGGCAGCTGGGTGATGCTCTGGAGTTCTCCACACGTGGCAGCTGGGCACCCCCCTGCCATCCTGTCTGGATTTTGAGCTCCCCTAGTTTGGGGCTGGAGGGGTTTCCAGGTCTGAGGACATCAGTTACGCTGATGGCACCCAGGCTGGCATGGAAGGAGGACCAGCAGGTGGTGGGCTGGGGGACGCCCCGCTTCCTTCCTCCACGCCAGGTTCTCCCCCGCAGATGAGGAGGTGGGTGGACACAAGGGCATGGAGATGTTCGTGCAGCGCCCCGAGTTCAGAGCGCTCAACGTGGGCTTCGCCCTGGATGAGGGTGAGTGGTGGCAGGGCTGGCACGAGGACGTGTCTCCTCTTGGCACTCACCCCCCTGCCTCTGGGCATCGCCCCCCCCCGGGCACTGTCACCATGCATGGCTTCCAGAGACCCCCTTGGGGGCTCCTTCCCCTGGGCAGTGCCCCACACCGTGCCAGCCTGGAGGGGAAATGCTGCCAGGGCAGAGCAGAGGGGGACACATCATGGCACCCCGTGCCCCGCTGACCCCCCATCTGTGCCCACTGCAGGCCTGGCCAGCCCGTCTGACACCTTCAGCGTCTTTTATGGGGAGAAGAGCCCATGGTGTGAGTAACTGCCTGCCCACCGCCCTGTCCCTGGCTCTGCCAGGCGCTGCGGCATCGGTCCAGCCCTGGGCTTTCTGCTCAATGCCTCCCTCTCCCCCCGCTGCCGCAGGGATAAAGGTGAAGTGCGTGGGCAGCCCCGGGCACGGGTCCCGTTTCATCAGCAACACGGCGGCCGAGAAGATGGTAAGAGAGGGGGTACACCTGGTCTGCCCCCCGCCCCGTGCCCACCCTGGGGCTGCCAGGCGCCTGCCTACAGGGCTGATCCTCACCGCTGCCCTTCCCTCCCCAGCACAAAGTCATCACCTCCTTCCTGGCCTTCAGGGAGAGCGAGAAGCAGAGGTAGGAGATGGGCAGCGGGATGGCAGTGGCTTCAGTTCATTCCACAGAGGGGGTCCTTGGGATCCCAAGCCAGGCTCTGATCCAGCACCACTGCCCCATGCCTCAGTTTCCCCATTTGAGGGTGGTAGCGGGGTGGGGGAGCCCTTCCCCTCCTCCCTCATCACCTCCTTCCTGGCCTTCAGGGAGAGCGAGAAGCAGAGGTAGGAGATGGGCAGCGGGATGGCAGTGGCTTCAGTTCATTCCACAGAGGGGGTCCTTGGGATCCCAAGCCAGGCTCTGATCCAGCACCACTGCCCCATGCCTCAGTTTCCCCATTTGAGGGTGGTAGCGGGGTGGGGGAGCCCTTCCCCTCCTCCCTGGGTGGTGGAGGGTGACTCTCCCTTGTGTCTTCTGAGGCTCAACTCTGACTCAAGCCTGACCCTCGGGGACGTCACCTCACTCAACCTGACCATGCTGGAGGGGGGTGTCTCCTTCAACGTGGTGCCCTCCGAGATGGAAGCCAGCTTTGACGTCCGCATCCCACTGAAGGTGGTCATCACACTGACCCCACCCGGGCAGGGAGCGGGTTGGGGGATACCCCGCTCACACCCCTCCTCTGGTCTCTGTCTCAGGCCTTTGAGGAGCAAGTGGCCGCATGGTGCCGGGGTGCCGGGGACGGCGTCACCTATGAGTTTCACCAGGTGAGGGGTCTCGGCCACCTGGGCGCATTGTGCCTGTCCCTCCCCTGCCACATGCTCACCCCCCCACCACTCACCTGCCCTCTCCCTCCGTCAGAAATGCATGGACCAACACGTTACCTCCACCGATGAGTCAGACCCATGGTGGAAAGCCTTCAGCGAGGTCTGCAGGGACATGTGAGTAGAAGGGCAGAACCCTGGTGGGGACATCCTCTGGTGGGAGCCAGGGGGTCCTTGGGGATCTGGGAGGTCATGGCAGGGGTTGGGAGGAGATGCTCCATGCCATGCCAGGGCATCTCCCCAGGTCTCCCAAAAGGGATGGGTCTGAGTGTCCTGCAGGGCTCAGGGACCTCCTGGACATGGTCTCTTTGCCCGCGGGGTGGCAGGGGGACGGGGGACCTGGCTGTCCCTGTGCCCATAGTGATGCAGGACTTTGCTTGTCAGGAAGCTGCAGCTGAAGCCCGAGCTCTTCCCCGCTGCCCCCGACCGCCGCCACAGACGAG